ATACAATTATCCAAGAATCCAGTGTTTCATGGGAAAAGCAAACACATTGATATAAGGTTTCATTTTTTGAGAGATTTGGTGAAGGATGGAGTTGTCAGGATGAGCTATTGCAAATCACAGAGTCAAATTGCAGACATTATGACCAAGCCTCTGAAACTGGATCAGTTCTTAAAGCTTCGTAGTATGCTTGGCATGATTGAAATTTCAAAATTAAACTAGATGTCATAGCATATAGTTTAAGGGAGGGAATGTTGGTTGGTTTAGGAGATATTTATTTTATGTTAGTCTGTTTCCAGTTTGTTAAAATAAGTTGTGCAATCCTATTTTCTAGGATATGCAGATTAAATCTAGATCAGTTAACCATTCACGTAATTTTAGGATGAAAAATCGTGGGTGGATAAAGTCCTTTCAGTCCTTCTTTTTCGGTCAGTTATCTCTGTATTTTGGCTTTATAAGCCAACTTATGTTTTGTTAATAAGATGAGATTATGCAGCACATACCTTAAGTGAGTATATTATTCTCAGTTAACACCAATACAAAAGCATTATCAAATTGGTTGTTTATATTTTATCTAAATTCAAATTAATCTTATTTCGGCATATACAAATTAAGAATTCTCCTGGGTTATTTTGGTACTATTTAATACAAACTTTTGAAACATAAGTTGGAGAAATTGGCGTGATTGGTTAAGAAAACAACAAGAGCAAAATTGGGCAGAATGCAACAACACAAAACAGAAACGAGTGATGATACTTCGTTCTAAGAACTCCCTTATGATCCCTCTGCAACAAAACACCCCTCTCCAATTTATTCCACCAACTATCCCAAGTTGGTGTTCAAACAAGGAAAGAAGCCATGGAAGTGATGGTGATCTTAGTTTCTCGATTTGAGGATGGTAAATCTGAAAGCAACGTTCCTCTCCCTCGTCACCCTCCTTACCCACTTTCCTTAACAGCATCATAGTACCAAATCCCTGTGTCCCTAGATCATCCTTCCCCGTTTCAAAAATCAACATCTTGGAGCACCCTAGGGAGGCCAAACTAGGAGCCCCACAACCCAAAGGATTGATCAAAGGTTATTGATGACATGTGGCGCATCAGGGTACGCAAACCTCCACACCTGCATGGCCGAACTCTCCTCAAACCCATCTACAGCTTCGGACAAAATCGGCTTAGAGCTCCAAAACAACGGAAAAACAAGAACCACACTCGCTATTTTCACACCCCCTAACAAACCCCCACTATCAATACCCACACGATGAACTGCGTTGTGTGCAATATTGGCAACTGCAGTATTCAGTAGATCACCCCATATAAATATTCTCTTATAAAAGATTTATCTTGCTGATAAAAAGAAGACAGTTGAAAATTACAATAACTGTTCACCATATATTCGTTATGGTAACTGAATTCATAAATTATTGTGAACAATACTGATACAGAAGAACCTGCTCTTCTAATAAGATATCAGTAATATTATAAGTCAATACAAACAAACAAAGCATTCTTATAGCATTGAAATCTCCGACAAAGAAGTTTGGCCTACTCGTGCAGAAACAATCGCAAGCATTTGATCATCTTCATTGCTTTCTCAGAATCGGGATGGAAGATATGATAAACATGATCCTCACCTTGCTCTTCAAACAGTTCCAATTTTCCTTGCCACCCACTCTTTCTCACACCCTCCAAGTACCAAACCCCTCTATCCCTAATTTTATCCTCGCTAGCCACACACACAATAATCTTGGAACACCCAAGTCCATCCAAGCTTAGTGCCAAAGGAGCGAAGGGGTTGAACATGGGGATATCAATGCCACCCGACGCAGAAGGGTACACAAAGTCCCAAACTAAACAGAACAAACGATGTATGTGCCCAGTAACAACTTCAGATCCAATTGGCTCCGAACTGCAGAAGTAAGGATGGGAGAAAATAGCTCCTAATATTTTAACATCACAAGGTAAGGGTTCAGTCCCAGCACGCATGGCAATGTTGTGAACTATGTTCCCACCTGCACTGTCCCCCCCAATGAAAACTCTTTGGAAATTACCGTGGGAAATCAGCCAAGGATCTTCATTGGTGGCGTTGTTTTGATCGGAATGGGACGCAACCCATTTGAGAGCGTCCCAGCAATCATGGTAACATGCGGGGAGAGGGTGCTCCGGAGCGAGCCTATACTCCACGGAAACCGCTATGACGTTTGTTTGGGAAACGAAGATGTTGAAGTAGCGATGGTATAGTTCGGAGAAAGCGGACTCAAAGAAAAATCCACCACCGTGAAAGTAGACCAAGATGGGCAACTTCTGAGGATGGTCTCGGTCACTGGTTGGGGCTAGTTTGGGAAGGTAAATTCGAGCTGAAACAGGAGGGCTTTGAGAGATGACGATGTCTTTGGATGAGACCCCTGTTAGAGGGTCATCAATTGAAGGTGGGACAAAGGGTGTTTCTCTTGGCCTTTCCACGGTGCCGTCACTGAAGACTCTGATATAGGTAGGTAGCTCTGCAACGATCTCTTTTGAGTTGGTGGAAGCCATGTGAACAGAGTAATTAGAAACAGAGGAGTCAGGTTTTTTTTTTAGACAGAAATACTGGTGGAGTTTTTATGAGTGATTAGCCTCACAACCATGTTTTCATAAATAATGGCTGAGATATGGGCTGATTGGGCGTCACGGAATGGGGACATGTACATGGGTCCCACAACCAATTTTTATTTTTAATTTATGTGAAGATAGTTTTTTTTATCTCAAACCTTATATTTTTTTAATAGACTTCAATTTTTTATTTTAATTTTCAGTGTTAATATTTTTTTTTCCATCTTTACTAGACTCAAACACACTGTAAAAATAAAAGATAATAAGCTAATGCCCTAACATTCAGATCAATTTTTTTTTATTGCTAATACATGCTTTCTTAGAGCAATAATGCGATAATGTGCATGAGTTGAAAGAGAAAAATATATAATATAAAGAATTTGTTAGGTTGCTTTCAAGGGACAGAGATACGAAAAGTCATAAAAAAAAAGTTATCACGGATAATGAGGTGTAGATATTAGTGGATGTCACATTAATCAACGTGGCGTGTTTCTTTGAAACTATACAGAATTTGAGAGAAAGGACGCCGAAAGATTTAAGTGTATTTTAAAATAAAGTTTTGTATTATTTTGAGTGGATTTAAAAGTGAAAGTAAGTGAATGAGGTTAAATAAAATAATTAATAAATAAAAATAAGATTATAAAATTGCTTTTTTATCTTAAAAGTAATATGAATTTTTTTTGGATGAGTGAGAATATTTGTTGAAAAAATGTTAGTCAATAATTTGAAAACAATAATAATAAAAGAATTAAATATTTATATATTAATTTTTATTATTTTTAAAATTATGTTCAAATGTTGTATTTTTTTTTGAATTAATAATAATTTAAAAAGTAAATTTTTTGAACATGAATCCTTACTATTTTATTTAACACGTGAATTAGTCAACTAATTGATTTTTTTACCATTTATAAACACATGAAAATTAGTTATGGACTTGGCTCTTTCTCATCCACAAACAACATTCAAATATATGGTTGTTAAACACTTTCAGAGACATAAATCTTAGATGAATTTAATAATACATGATTAAAAATATAATAGTAAAATGATTAGATGAATTTAATAATAAATAATTAAAGATATAATAATAAAATGACAGCTCATCTTTGTAAATTTTCACAACTTTTACTAGATGGGATTATAAGGATATTCCGCGAATTAAAGAATACACTCTTTCTGTTGTCAATTTGTTTTTTCAATTCGTATTTCCATTAAGGCACGTTGTACTATATTTTGGTATAATACTATTAGAAATTGATTCTTATTTTAAAATATATTTTTTACGTGTAATTGTTATGTGCCTATGATGCCTTTAATTTCAATACTAATCAATCACAACTTTAATTCTTTATATTACTAAACTATTCAAATAATTTTTCTATTTACATTTCCACGTAGACAGTTTTTACATATATCTATTTTAGCTAAAAATTACTTCGTTTGAACTTTTATCCTTAATTATAAGTTGGATTGAAAAGAATAGGCAACTAACGGCAATTTCAAACGGAAAGTCTCAACCGTGAAAATAGCTTCATTCATTATCTTGATGAACTTCTTTCATGGAAGACAAAACGTTTCATAAAAAGACAAAATGAATGATAAGAATAAGTAAAGACGTAGTTTTTAAAGGTTAAATAATTAAAAGTACATAAATTAAAGATAAAATCAATTTATAATATATAAGTCAAGTATAAATCTTACCTTACAAATTAATTTTATGAGATGAAGTTAAATTTAAAAACATAATTTTTAATTTATATATATATATATATATAAATATCCGAGTACAAGATAATAAACTTTAGATGCGCATTTCAGATTGTATATTCAAGACATATTTGAAAATAACATAATTTAGAAAATATTTCTGGTATCCAATATAAGATATATTTCATTATATGTAAAAAAAAGTAATTGGGACCCATTTTTTGTGGCCTCCAATGAAAATTTACCCTGGCGTGATATGAAGTAGAGTTGTACAACATGTAAAGAGACGTGACTTGGACCCAATTGGAGTTGTCTGTGTCTCCGCAACAATTAAATACAAAAGAATTAAAATAGAAAAATAACAGGAAGAGCTAAAGAATGGAGATGAAAGGAAGAATTGGAGAAAGGTAATAATGTAAGACAATTTTTATTGAAGGTCATAAAGTAGTTTTATTACAGGCAGAAAATGGAGAAAATAAGAGTGAGTGGTGAGGGATTAAGCATCTAATGATTGACTAGAAAAGAAGCGATGAGGTTGATCAATTTGTAAGCGTTACGAGAGTCTTGATTGAGGGCTGGTTGGAGGAGATGGTAAACATGATCCTCGTTTTCCTGCCGAAAGAATTGAATTTCACCTTGCCAACCACTTTTCTTCACAGCCTCATAGTACCAAACTCCTCTGTCGCACAAACCGTCCTTTTCAGCAACGCAGATGAAGATTTTAGAACAAGCAAGTTGAGCCAGACTGGGAGCATCGGGAGCCAAAGGGTTAATGAAGGGATTATCGATCCCACCTGGTGCAGATGGGTACGCCAACTTCCAAACAAGATTGTAGAAGTTCTGCTCAATTCCGGTAACAGGCTCAGACCCAACAGGCTGTGAGGCATAAAAGTAAGGATGAGCCAGAACAGCGCCCAGTATTTTAACGTCTCCAGGCAAGGACTGATGCCCAAAACGAAAGGCAAGAATGTTGTGGACTATGTTGGCACCTGCACTGTCTCCTCCTATGAATACTCTGTTGAAGTCACCATGGTGAATGAGCCATGGCTCAGTGTTGTCTGTGGGGTATTTGGTAGAGTCAGAATGTGATGCAACCCATTTGAGAGCCTCCCAACAATCATCATAACTTGCAGGGAGAGGGTGCTCTGGGGCCAGTCTGTACTCCACGGAAACTACCATAACTTTTACCTCAGAAACCAACTTCAGCAGATGGACGTCGTAGAGTTTGGAGAAGGCGGATTCGAAGAAGAAGCCACCCCCGTGAAAGTAGACGTAGATGGGAAGCTTCTCTGTCTGGGAATTGGAGATGTTTGGGAGGTAAATTCGTGCCGAAATTGGTTTTGGAGGTTTGTTTGAGATTGCAATGTCCTTGGACGACACTCCTGTGTTAGAGTTGTGCAGCGTCGGTGGGACAATCGGAAAATCGCGCGGACGTTCAACGGTGCCATCACTGAAGACGCGAACCCACTCGGGTATCTCTGTAACGATTTGTTTGGCATTGGCATTGGTGGTGGTGGAAGCCATTTTTAACTGAAGATGGAAGCATGAATGGTTGGATTGGAACCCTTGGCATTTATTTATAGCTGTCATTCAACTTGAAATCGTATCCAAAACGAAAACGACTTTGACTTAGTTAAAACAATTTGCGCATAGTACTATTGGTGGGGTTAAGCGTTTGTTGATCGATCTTTGATCAAAAGTTACACTGTAAGTCTTTTTACCTAAGAGATAATTAGTCCAAACACCGATTGCAACTTATCTCACGTTAAATCCACCACAAAATTGTTCATACGTCCTCATCATAAATCATGTAAGGAGGAATAACACACTTACGCATAGATATATACATTAATAAGATATTTTCTGAGCATTGATGAATTTATTTTTAATACCACTTTAAAAGACGTCTTATTAATGAAATATTCAACAAATCACTCAAATTTTGATACAATAAAACCACTAAAAAGACACATTGTAATATAAAATAATAATATTTTAACTATTATTTTTATTTTTGACGTAAAATTTAAAATAATAATTACTATATTTATATTACAACATTAATTGTTTACTAATTAAACTTAAATTGATTTTACCATCAAAATATACTTAAGAGACACTATCGATTTAGAGAACAGTTTACCAGAAAAAAAAGAATAACATCAGAATATGTGACAAGGAAATCTATATTATATTCTAATAGAAAAAAAAGTGACAGATTTATATATTGTGTTACTTGGGTGAAGTGTGTACGCAATTTCACATTTGTACAATTTTTTGTTAATTTTTATATTTTAAAATATAGTTAAGGTTAGAAAAATCTGAAATATGTGCATTAAAGATTAAATCTCTATACTGCTAATATTTTATCCTCCTTTTAATCAAAATTTGTCCGTGACTTTGGAGAGGAAAATAAACCTTTCAACAACTTAACTTTATTAATATTAATTATTTATTTGAACTTAATGAATGCACTACCTTAAAAACTAAATTTCTCATTCAACATAAGGTTTTTTAAAAAGAAAGGTAAATTACCAATTTCAAGAGTTATTCATTATAACCAAAGATTAAATACACCCGCAATAGATAGATTGTGACATCCCAATTATATAGAAAAACATATATAATAAAGACATCGTGCATAATATAGAAAAGCACTCACGAATAATTAGGATTACAGTCATCCTCAAAATAGCTTTAGAATTTCAACTTTAATAAAAGAGGTCTAAACTGTAAACTTAAAGAGATGATCATATGACTAAGAAACCCCTAGGAAGCCTAAACTGCAGCATTGCTGTCTTCCTCCAAAGTTGTCTCCAAAGAAACCTCCTCGTCATTTGCTCTCATCCAAGTGAATGATCATCGCAAAAGAATCATACACAAACAACACAAACAAGCAAGGGTGAGCTAATTATATAAAAAGCATACAATATGGCAAATGCATGCAAGAGTTAACTTCAATCAAGCAGGGTAAACACACATCCTAACATGTTGAGTACTAAACTTGACTCGTCCGGACTTTAGAATGATAGTCGAGCTATGGCGGGTCTTGCACTCGTGGTGACTTATGAAACTTGGGTTTCTCCACCCTACCACACTCACGAGGTTAGTCCGTTATCACTCACCTTGGGCCATACTGGAAGCACCCAAGACTAGGATCTCCTGCTACTCCTCACCACATGGTTCAATCCTCTCTACGTGAGAAGAAAGACCATTGGAGTTTTAGGATGACCCCAAGACTGAGCTCCTACCTTCATTCTAAACAACTAAGGGCACCACCATGGATCTTCTCCTTAAAGATCATGGAATTACGTCCATCAACCATACTTGTTATACTTCACCACCAAACATGTGTCATAACATCACATACTATCAGTTCAATAACATTACTACCATCATACTATGTATTTCAATCATTCACACACTTGGTTCACCCAAAGCAAGAACAAAAGAGAAGACTGGACCGAAAAGGTTCGCACAGTGCACCCTATGCGCAAGGCGAGACAAAAGCATTTCGCACAGCGCACCCCCTAATTCGCATAGCGAATTAACTCACAACATGCATCAGACTTCAAACCTCTCGCATAGCGCACCCAAGTCGCTATGCGAGAGTCCAGACAGAGACCAACCCCCTTAAAGCTCTTGTTATGCGCCCCGCTCGCCTCTCGAATTAAAAGGGGGTGGTTCCAGACCCCCACCAGTCGCATAGCGACAGGATTCGTCACGCGAATCCACAAACAGAAAGCAGCACCCTCTGGTTATTCGCATAACGCACCAACTCGCACAACGAATGACTCAGACAGTGAGCGCCCTCTACAGGGTCTCGCTATGCGAGACAACTCGTCTAGCGACTCTGCATAGTCTACAGAACGCCCAATTCTACAAATTATGCTCCCTTGCACCCTCTAGACCAATTATAGTCCTTTTTCCCATTTTCTAAGTCCTCTAGATCGTGATTATGTCCCAGTTAAGCTTGTCTATGTGATTCCTAACATTCCTCTAATGATTTTCAAGTGATCAAGACGCACTTCACTCTCTAGAACATTTAAATCAACAACCTAATGACCTAAGATCCATTCTACTGGTTTTAACATGTTTTAGACCTTCCTTATGTACTTAACAAGTTGCATTTAACCCATCTAAGTCGCCCAAACTGTCTTATTGTGCTCTAGACCCCAAATGCCCAATTTCAGTACCTCACTTCCCTTGAACTAACCTAGACCTTCTGCCTAACTATTGAACATGTTTACCAAATTGACACTAAGCAGAAATCTCACCCTATTCCCTCCCTACATGTTCTATTTACAGCCTCTTTCGTTCATCCAAAAAGATTCCCAACAAACAACTACAGTCTCACCAACCATACATTTCAGTTCATAACATCCAACATGCTTAAAATATAAAATACAATCCAACAACACATCAGTGCAGCAGTCAACATACATTCATCTACAAAGCAGATTCAAGAAATAATTTCAAGAAAACAATTAGCTCCCCTTACCTTGGTGGTTACAAGTACAACACTTTAAAAGAAGCCCCAAAACAGTAACCCTCGCACAGAAACAAGTTCCACAAAACCTACAAACCACCATAGAGTACAACTCTTAGAGCTAGAATGAACAGGAAAACAAAAGGGAAAAGTTACCAGCTACATGCAACCAGTAAAGTTGCATGTCCTAGGTTCAACAGAGATGAAGAAATTGACTTACCCATCCAAAGCAGAAACTAATCGGATGGATGGAAAGCTCTCAACTCCGCGAACGAAAGAACACCACCTATTTGACAATGCAACGGTTGAAATGTGTAAATGGATAGAGAGAAGGTAGAGCAAGAAGGAGAGATCAGAATTTAGAGAGAAGAAGAAGTTTTATGTTCTTAGTTTTATGGATCTGACTGCCCCAATCTAAGGCCCAACAACCCTATATTTTCAGGTCCTTACATAGATGGCCTGTTCATCCTTTTGTTAAACTAACTGTAGGTGGTGGTTTTATATCAGACACAAGAGGATGGGTATAGCGGGAATTGTGACGGCTGAGGTGGAAGATGGAATTTGTATTCCCAAGAATGATCAAAGTATTATTTGTGAAACGAAGTATTTGGAAGTATTTAACGTCTTCCATAAATGGAAACCAAAAGAAATTAATTAACTTTCATAAATACAGCAAAATTCTTTGGGAAATTCAGGAACAAATCCGTCGGTGTCGGAAATGCTCTTGTGAACATATTTCCCGAGACCAAAACATACATATTTCAACAAGCAGCTTGAAATGAAAAATAGGATGATATTCCAGATGGCATCTTACCTCTTATAGGATTGGTTTAGCGTTGCGTTGTTTCAGTTTTTCTTTTTTTGATTTCCATTCCTTTTATAAAAATAAACGAAATATTTTCACAGACTTCTCTTCTCAAACATTAATCAAGAACAATATTAAGTGTTGCTGACTTGATGCATAATAGGAAAATTATTTAGAAGCATCAGAAAAGTGCCTTCAACGTCCGAATATTGAAATGAAGTATATTCGCAACAATAATTTAAAACAAATTTCCATGTCAAATGTGAGGATTTGACAGTCTGGCAGAAGTTACCCCAGCAGCACAATTTCCTTGCAGAAACCTATAATTTTGTCCATATATACATTGGGAAAAATATTTTTACACCTACAATCATGAAGTTAACAATGGTCATTTCCTGAACGTATGCATCTGAGAGAAGAACTGTTAAGTCATAACCATCACATTGCATGAGATAAAAAATGTTCGTGAAGGTCATATTTGCTATATCTATGATAATGAAATTACAGACCAACAGGGGCTTACACCTCGTTTAAAAATAAAAGAAGCACGACTCGGTCATTAGGTATTTCTTTTAGCCGAGTTGTATATCACAAACAGGAGACCCCTTCCTGGTACAAAAAAAGGAATAACACTACTACATTCTGTACAACACCATCGGTTAGAGGTCAAGGGTATAGAATGGGTGCATACTACAGTCGGTTGTTATGGGAGTTGGCCTTTGTAAGTGCTTTAACAAAGTAATTTCGGATCTCTGGTATTACACGCTGAATCAGAAGAGAGTGCCTGCAAACAATTAGTGTAAACAGAAACATAAGGTGAAGAATTGGTCAGCCAAAAAAAAAATGTCTTGATGCTGATTATCCTGTTTATTTCAAACTATTTATAAAACACGATTGTGTATAAACAGAAGATGGCCATATATAAAAATACTAAATCCCTCGTATCTGGTCTGAATACGGTACAAGAAAAACAACCATACAAATAAACCTTCTACTTGCTGCTTGAATGTGAAATGGAATACACAGTCATCTACATCCCCCCACCCCCCGCCCAAAACCACAGTAAAACATTCTTTACAGTATGCATAGAATATCTATGTTTCCAAAGGACTCTTTCTTACTGATTTTTGGATACAATAGGCTTGAATACTTGCTATTTTCACCAGTGACACCGGGGGATATGACTGTTTAATTAAATCAAAACATTATGATGATAAAAATAAAAAATAGATCAGTGACATTATTCAAGTCTCAAGATCCAAATTTCCTTTTAGGTCAACAACATTCTTCACGAAACAGCACGCACAACAGTACTAAACCAGATGACCTAGTTCTTATACACAGCTATTAAGACATCATAGCTAAGTAAACGCCCACAAGATGTAAAAACAGTAAATTAGGAAATCAGATCAATACCCTGGCCTTGCACTCAATTTATCAAATTGCTCCAAGATAAAAAGGATGCATGCATGCCTCAGTGGTATTGCATTGAAGGCTTCTGAAAGCTCATACATACTTGAAACATTCTCTAGTGATATATCCTGGGAGAAAAAACATAGGGTAACGAGGAGCCCACTTTCAAGTCTAATGTTTGGTACAAGGAAACATACATATATAAAACTGATTTTCCTAGCTCACCTGTGCAATTGTGTATTCACAGAGTCTCTTAAGTCCTTCCAAAAGATATTGATCCGCTGCTCGAAGAAGATCTTGAGCAATATCCAGAGTGACATCAACTGATCCACAATACACAAATCTGGATAGATATCAAACAAACAACGAGATATAAGATGTCCAGAAATTATTACAAGCATTCACAGACCAACTTTAATAGATCACAAGACTGCAGAATTTAGTAGACCTCATCATCAACTCAAAAACTTCCCATCTAATATTTGGAATCTCTATGTCTCTTGCCTCCTTCTCCTGGCATGCAATAAAACACATGTTTACATAGCACTTTATGCTTCAAATTAAAATATATATTTTGGTAATTACTTACTTAATATTAGATCCATCGTTCAAATCAACAGTAAAAACCATAGATGATAAATAAATATCTCATGAAACCAAGTGGAGTCAACAAAGGAGTAACTTTTTTGACTAACACTCTTATTTTGTAATAATGCAAAGGAATTTCAAGAATTGTTTCTTGTGATAATATCCTTATTTGGTGTGGCTTTAGAGGTGGGGTGAAGGAGAAAGATTATTCATGGGTGAAACTGAATATAATAAACTCACCCTGTAACCACCGTCAAACATTGCACGAAATGCATCCGAAGATGCAAGTAGACAAATTCTATGTGCATAAAATTGTTTGCCTGCAACGAAGAACAAAGATCACCAAGTTCACTACACGGGTCAACTGAAGCTACAACACATCTTAGGGAAGGTAGTTTTTCAAGCTACAATTTTAAGAATGAAACAGTGAGGACAAAAAGCATCAACCTTCAACTAAAAATGTAACGTCAGACAATGTAGCATTGTTCACATACTGCTCTCCTAAATATACCTGCAAGATAAATAGTAGTTGATCATAAACATACCAGCTTTTAGAAAAGCTTATTCCAGAATTATTTAGACAAGGCAGAGTGAAGAGGGAACTTGGCATCAGGATTCTTATGCAAGTGGCAAGCATGTAAAACAGCAAGCATTGATCAAGATGACTGCTGGCAGTTAGATCATTAGATGCTCGTTATATTCAATAGACCACGTATTTATATAGTCATGTCATTGGTCATCATAAAATATCTTTTAGAGAAAACAAACAAGAGGAACAAACTGAAATTTTATGGTTTCTGCTTACTTGAAATAAGAGCACAGAATTATTTATAGGCACCGTTTACAACAAAAGCTATTGTTAATAATAGCTGACAGCTGTAAAAGCTAACAGCTGTACAAACTAACTATTATTTATTCAGTCTAACAATATCATATACAAATAATATAAATCTATTATAAATTGTTATTGGCTACTGACTACTTAATATTACACCAGGGTTTAAAGAAATTTTAAATAAAAAGTATTTCTAGACACATGTTACATTCATATAAGCAAATTACAATTCCTACCTAATTGAGTGAGTATACAAAGTGTGTATAAAGATCTTACCTGTGAAGAAATTTTAAGCATATAACAGCGGATGCAACAACAATTTCACATACCGTTAAAGGAAAGTTGAAGGAAAAATAAAACTTGTGAAAACATTCTTTTATAATTAAAATTCTATGCTGTGAAATTGTGAAAACTGATGATAAGCCAACTAGATTTACCTGTGGCGTTGGAGAAAGAGGAGGAGCATCAACAGGAGACAAGGTGGATGCTTTATTGGCCAACTTGCATAAAGCCACGGCACCATCAAGTTGCTGCTTAGAGCTGGATGATCCAAGAAGCCCTATAAGCAACTCAAGACCTGCATGGACAGATGATCAACTTGAAAACAAATACAAAAAGGAGTTTGTAAAACAATAAACGATGAGAACCAAACCCATGAAAAAACATTTACTAAGATACACACCATAGTGATCAATAAAAATTTTTCTCTGATCATCTGCAGAACAAAGATGTGCAAGAGCCAATGCGACTCGCCTTTGACAACCCTTTTCTGAAACTCGCATAAGATATAACAAATGGTTCAAAACCTATAAAAGGGAAAAAACATCACATTACAAATTTGAATACTATAAAACTGGCAATCAATAGTAATCAGTAGAGCCCCCATCATTTTGAAGATATCAAGTATTAACAACCAAAAGCAGAAAGTATCATGAATATGACATTTTACCCGGCCCTGAATCTTCTCCTCTAATCTTTTCAACGTCTTGGCAACACAATCTTTAGTTGCCTGCAATAGAAATCAATTCCATAAAGGTCTATATTGGTCTTAAGATAAATCTATTTCCCTTCAATTACAAATATTCAAACGAAATCACTAAGTATTTTAATTTTTTATAGTAAAGGCATCAAAGGGTGAAAGTGGAAACTATAAATCAAAGCTACGGTATGTAGTAAAGAGAAAGCTTACTTGAACAATAAATTCTCCATCTTGCAGCCTCTGAACTCCACCTACCCTAATGAAATCGGACACATTATCCTATGGGACAAAATAAAATAAATAACCCCAAAAACAGAGAATAGTTAATTAATTTAAGTCTCAAAGTAACAAGCTTTTTAAGCAATTAAGACAGAAAATCTTCATTTCAAACAAATTCAGTTTGTATCATACCTCATTGTCTGCAAGGCCGTATAAAGCAAAAGCAGCATTATGTTGCAAAGACCCATTTTTTGAGTCAAGAAGCTTGAGCAATGGCACTAAGCCACCATTGTGAGCAATACCAGCTTGGTTATGTGTGTCCTGAAATCAACAAAAAAATGTATATTTATATTCAACCAAAAGAAATGCATATGTTGTTAAGAAGAACCAGAAGTTCAACATGCAAATGGACATAGGTCATATTAGCTTTATATAAAAAGGTGTGATATATCACTAAGATGATTTCAGAGATAAGCCACATATAACTATACGAGAATTAATGAGAACATGGAAATACATTGAATGTGTTACAGATCCAAATACTATCCTGCACAGAAATATGCTACTAACTTATTTCCAGGACATAATGGAACTTTATATTCAAACTAATGCAAGTAAATTATAAACGGAAAAAAGGAAAAAAAGAAAGGGAATAACCTGGGCTAATCTTCCCAACGCAAATGCTGACATTTCCCTGAGTTGTACATCAGATGACTGAAGCATTTCTATCAATGGTTGGACAGCACCCCTCTGTACAATGTGAACCTAAAATCAAGCAGCACAGACAGTAAACACTAAGGTCAAAAGAAAATGATATATGATACATCATAAGAGAAGCAACTATACTGTTCAGTACTCTATTACCATCAATCTTATTTAACAAGAAATAAATAATACAAAACAATCAAATTGGAAATAGGAATGTCACCAAACGATTGCTTCACCTAAAGTTCAGTTATGAATTGTTTCTTATCTCCCCCTCCTCACAATTCAGGCATACAAGTATAAAAGGGGACTATTTATGTGTGTGTGTGTGTGTGTGTAATATTAAGCGATTTAAACTTGAAAACTGGAGTTATCCACCCAATTCAAGCTTTACTTTTGTCCTTTACATTCTGAAGCTTACGCTTACCTTACAGTCTGAATCAGTTGCTGCAAATTGTCCAAGTAACAAGGCTGCTTCTCTCTGGCTTTCAGAGCAGCAGGAACTGTTAAATAAAGTATAACATTATATTTGTTAAACGGAAGATAGCTTTCAGGGACACGTTTGATAGAATATTATTGCCAGAAAAAAAATGACCACATAATAATAACAAAACATGTTCAGGGTAGAGAGGGAAGGGGCAGTGCAGTTTATCAGGGTCCAGAATTGGGGATAAACCTAAGTAATCCAATAACTGGCTGTAAAGCTCCAGCGAGAAGAACTTCTTTCTTTATATTAGGTGAAGAGTGCACTAGATTTCCAATCACACCAACCTGGTATATCAAATTCATAGCATGTGCCACATAAGATACCTGCAAAGATAGAGCTGAAAACTATTGCAAGAGTCTTGCATTTATTATTAAAATTTGTTATCCTCACCGCTTCATAATGAACAGCAGCATCTTCAGAACGTAGCATTAAAATCAAAGTTGGGAGAGCATTGCATTCAACAATCTGGAAAATCATCATGTTGTGTGACTTGTTTGTAAAATATCCAAACCACAACTTCCAGCAACAACTTACCTGATTTTTATTTTCATCATTTTTAAAAGCAAGAGTTCGTAGTGCACCAGCAGCTGCTCTTTGTACCTTTGCATCGGCAAAATCAAGCAAATGAACAAGTGGTGGAATTCCACCTTCCATCCTACAGACCAAATCAAGATAATATTGAGAACAAATCCAAAATTTAAATATGATAACCTTAGAAGAAGGTAAAACCTGACACGGGTTTTAATGCTGCTGTTTTCATGAGCAAGATTAGTAATAGCATCTGCAGCCCTGCGAATGAGACTATTAATAGCACGAGATGTTAAGCCATCCTTGTGCCTCTTTAAAAGATCAACAAGATGTATTAAGGCACCACTGTCAACAATGAGCTGTTGATGCTCTGGCTGTAGAAAGCATTTCAAATAAAATAGCAGTTTAGCAATTATATTCTTTTTAACAGATACAAGAAATATGTCAGAAGAGAAAAGGAAGAAAAGTACAAGTAAATCTAAAAATATATGTCATATACATACACAATTCAAACTCCCCTTAAACATGACTCAGTCATTAGTCCTAGTCACTGCACGTGTTGGGCTTCACCATAGTTACAAAAAAGATGGTCAATGCTTCTATATTCACATCCTACAACCAACACTAAATTAATCTTGTGATTGACAAACCGGATACATAAATTTCCCTTTAGAAATCAGTAGTATCTCACACACTTCCTACAGTTCCAAACAAAAATTATGGACCTAGTAGACCAGACTGGCTTTCAATGGTGAATCTCCATCAGGACCAAAGGGAACAGTCTCCCCATCCCCCTTCTCCAAATTTATTTGTTTTTCTAATCTATGTGGGACATTTGCTTTAATTAAGAATTTCATAAGAATTCAACCCACCACCAATTGACAATCTATTAAATAAAGTGGTTTTTGTATCAAGTACAATGTTTAAGAACATCTCCATTCCTTACTTCTAACCTTCATCCAATATATTGAATTTCATTCAATTAATGATCATTTAAATTTTTTAAACAAGTTTTCATCCAATACTTAAATAAGTATCCAAAATCCAGAAATAATATCGTAAAATTAGCAGATCCCTCAGTTTTCAAGAATTGGCACATCCTCTTCCCCCCCCCCCCCCCCCCCTAACTAACTTATCCAGATAAACCCTATAATTTTTGTTCTCTCAAAATCTTCAGCCAAGTTCCACCACCGCTGACTACCATCAAAACAATATAGAAAGGGTAAATTTTTGGTAGACTACATGATTCAACCAGCTTTGAGAAAAACAGATTGCATAAACACAAAACTCAATCCTTTATAAATAAATGATTCCTACCAACCAGCAGGTAATTAACTCAATATGGACCCTCATTCATGTAAGACTTTTTTTTTATCTCTTTTAGTCAACACTTGGAAAAATCAAATTTAGATGCACTGTAATCACGTGTTATATAAAAAATGACATCCCAAGCCCAAACACAGTTTATCTTGTGCTAGAACATAAAGACAACAGTTACTAAAAGTAAAAAAGAAACCAAGGACACTGTCGTTTAGAATTAGGGTTTTGAATGTGTCATCTCCCTTCTACCCACAAAAAAGATGCACAGCCATGAGAGCAGGACACTGAACCGAAGCACTGAAGTTGCAGGTTTGGAGGGCAGCAACATCCGATTTTGTGATTAACTACCATGAGTGCTGCAGGATTTGCTGGCTCCGAGGTGTGCTTCAACAGCAAATCACGATTCTTAAGATTCTAGCCATATTCATGTGTCATGCCCAAAAACAATCCATTGTACCACATTGCAATTAATCGTGCAATAAAAACAAACACTCAATCAAACCCTTATTATAAGGTTCATTTTAGAAGGTAAACTGGTAACATTTTTCAAAAAGTTCAGCTGAATTAATTACTTTAATTGGTATGTGATAACGTTAATAGAAGACCAGAAAGTACTATGCTATACTCACTAATTAAGAATCTTAATTAAGTTGATTTAATGTTCTTAATTTCATAAAATAAATAAATACATCCTTTAAATTCCCACCAGTCATATTTATTGGAAATTGGTGCCCAGGTTTAAATGTAAGGATACCTTTTAAATAATAACATTAAATAAAATTGAGATAATTGAAATTTACTAATATTTAAGGCCTTTAAACATAATCAAAGGGAGTATCTAGCAAACCCAACCTACAAATTACACTATCAGGCATGATCTTTAAGACTGTCTCTACTATTACTCCCTTAGTTTCTTTTTGGACATTTTTTGGATAACCCAAGAAATGCATATTTTTTAACTTGAATAAAATATTTATTCTCATTTCTATATCACTATAAATGCATATACGTAAACTAATTAAATATTAAGTGAGAGATAAGAGTATAAATGACAAAAAAATAATTACTATTGTGTTGGACTTCGAATTTTCAGTTAAATATAAACAAAAGAAAAAGAGACTTTCACAAGTGCAACACTTCAAGTATTATATGACTCGCACCATTAAACAAAAAAAAATGGAACAGCATTCCATGTTAAAATGCATAAATAAATGAATAAATAAACAACACTCAAAAGCGAATTCAACATTACAAAACTTGAAATCAAGCTACAACCAAAATTACACTCATAATTCCAAATTTGCAGAACACGAAGAATCATCTATCCAAATTATGAAGTACCAAACTAAAACAAGCTAAGACCTACGAAGCGTAGACGATTAAATATGGAATAAAATCGAAAATGACAGTTAGAGAAAATGAAATCACCTTGACGGCAAGGAGTCCTAATGCGAAAGCGCTCCCCTTCTCAACCTCGTGCTCGAATGGCAATGGCTTCTGGACACGGTCAATCAGAGGCGGCGCCTGAAGATGCTTCACCAACGCAGGAATCGCGCCTCCTTCAACAATCAGGTTCACCACTTCCTCTGCAAACACAACCAACACCAATCGATTTATACACACGGACATGCAACCGACACGATGAAACACAGAAGAAGAAACAGCACACCGCAACCGCAATCCAAACGAACGCAGCGAGACACGGCGAGATCGGAGGCATCGATTTACCATTCTTCGCGAGATCGGCGAGCGCGTGAGTAGCGCGTTTGGCCGCGGATCGATCCGCTTCGTTCCACGTGAAACTCGACTCGAGGATGCTCACCTGTTCTCCGACGTCGCAGAGGAGCGCCGCTCGCTCGGCGGCGGTGGACGGCGCCGCCGAGATCTGCCTTTCGTCGTGCTGTTCCTCGTCGAGCTTCCGCTTTTGACCCTTCCGCTGGGAAAGACTCTGATCTTGGCGCCTCTGGAGCTCCATGAACGAGAGAAAAAGCAAAGAAGGTTCTGAGAACAGAGTGTTTGCTCTGTCTGGTGCGAGAAAGAGAGGAGGGGGTGAGAAATGCAATTGGAGATTTGAACGGATGACATGTAGAAGGGTATTTTGGGAAATGTAAAGTAAGAATGAAAAAAAGAAAAAAGAAAAAAGAGCACGCACACTCACTTTGATAACAGAGGTGTCTGGCTTTGAACCGGCCACATCATTTTGGGTCTGGATTGAGGCAAAGCCGAACACTCAACAATACACTTTTTTTTAAGTACGAAAAATCAGCAGACATTTTTATAATAATCAATTAAAATGAAGCTGCCTTATCTGTTTTTAGTTTTAAAGAATAAAAATAACTAAATTAAATAATACTTTATTCAGTTAAAATCTCCTTTGGAACTATGAAAAACGATTATAAATATACGAATAGTCAATTGTTAGACATTGGATCAATGCTATAAAACTTGAAGAAACTTATATGCTCCAACAGATTCCTGGATCACTAATTCAATATTTAAATACTTGCTGAACACGTGTGAATACACAGACATAAAATATACAAAATATGCAAACAAACAAAAATTAAAATATGTGCAGATAAATTTATTTGCAAATACTCTAAAAAGTAAAAATAAAGTAAAATAAACCTTTTTAGAAACTAAAATTGATTTACGTATAAATTTAAATTATTTTTTAATTAAATCAATATAAAAGAGTTTTTTTAAATAAAGTAATTTATATATAAATAATTGTAAATTATGTAAAAATAAAAATGTTTTGTTTATTCATTCTGTTCTTTTCGTGAAAATTTTTATTCAAAGGTACCATGTTACATCGTTGATAAATCAATGTGGTGCAATGGTTCAAGTAAAATTAGCTTAAGTTATTGAGCATAAGATTTGATCCTTGTGAACTCTAATTTTATTTTATTTTGTGACAAAGGAGTGAGGGACATGTTGGATTATCAATTTCAGAATAGTATGGATAGTCAATTATTTTGGTCATGAAAATCAATTTTGAGATGGGTGTGTGAAATAAATAATTGACTAATAGTTTTGAAAATCAGTTATAGTGTGCTGATAGACACGTGTGATCATCAGTTATCATTGCACACAAATTTTTTTATCTGTGTTGATAAAATACAGTGTTTTCATTTTTTTTATTTCTGCTGTTCTGGAGAAAAATAAGAAGTATGATTAAGATCGCATTTTCAGAATTAGAAATAAATTCTTCAACTAACTTTTAATACAAAAGTTTAAAAACTTAGTCAAACGGTAAAGAAATGGTTACAAAATAAAAACTAGCTATTGTAAAGGTGTGACTCTATCTTTCTGTCAATTAAATAAACGTTGAAATATATGATTCGTTAATAGGTGAATTGATATATTTTTAAGTAGTTAGAATTTTTATTAAAAAAAATATCCAAATTAAACATATAAATAAAATCAATTTGATTTTAATATTTAATTTAATATTTGACTTTATTCCTACTAATTGGATTTAGTCTCCAGCAAGAGGTTTGACTGCTAAGGCATCAATTTTCAACTTTACAATTATTTGTTGATTCTATTTTGTGATTTGATTGCATAGACCTCCTTTGAGGGTAGTAGTAATCCTTGCTTCTTTCAAATATTTCACTTTTCTGTTGTACACGTTCCTTACTTTCTTGTTTTTAATGATTGTATTTGGTTCATACGTAAAAAAAACAGCACAGAGAGTATGTAACTTTATTAAAAAATGAATAAATATTGCCAATGTTAGAGAATAATGAAAAAAAATATGTGAAATGGGTATAATTTTCAGATTAAGTATAAAAAAATTGAACATGTATATTCATGGAATATGGTTTCACAAACCCGGAATTAGAAAAGTGATTCTGCGATACTCCTTTTCAATTAAACATTTTGTATCGTCCAAATTCTGAAATATTCAAAATAAATGTTTAAAACTTTCAATAATTGTCTATGTTAATCGATTTAATTTCTAAAATTATTTAACAAAAATTAATTGTTTTTCATGAAAGTTTTGTTTTGTTTGGTGCAAAAATACTTACTTTTTATTTTTAAAGAAGCAAGTGTAGCTTTGTCTCAAGGATAAAATATAGCGTAAAATGAACTATTACAAGGAATACATTTATAACCACAAATTATACATATTGATAACGTAAGAAAATTTCAAGAATAACAAAATAAGTACATTTATATCTATGAACAATTAAAGAAATAATCAGATACAAGATGTAGGAAAATATAGTGACAAATATACTTATAAATATTTGAAATTGGACGTACTCACATTAATAAAGTATTTAAAAGAAAAAGAAAATGAAAGGTTAATCTAAGACGAGTCTATAGATTCAATTTTGCATAGCAAATTGCTTCCCAACAAAAAATATGATAACAAAAATAAAGAGAAGAATATATTCGCTTCGGTCTAATTAAAAAATTAAGGTGTGAATTACGGTTCACCAATTTTACAGTCATAAAACAATTTAAATTTTTAGAGTCGTAGATAACATACTAATCACCTTCTAACATTTATTATTTATAACTCAAGTTAGTTTAACTATTTATTATTTTAACCATCTTTCTTAATTATTACGTGTTATTAAAATCATGAACTTGGTTGTGAAAAAAGAATCACAATTTAACATCATATTGTTAAAGAAGTTAATTTTAGAATCCTCTTTTATTTAACAAATATAATCATTCAAGTTTTGAGGACTTACTTCTCAACATTTTTATTTATTGGCATTCATCATTTACAATAGTTGACTTTAGTTCGTTTGACAGAGTTATTTAAGAGAAATCTATCTATTACACGTTCTTAACATATTACAAAGAAAATCAACTCTCCCACTTTAACAGTAAAATTTTGTTAATTTTAAGTGAAGCTTTTACACTCCTTGTTTTATATTCATCATTGTTTTTTTTTTTGTAGAATTTCAAAATTAATGTTAATTTCTCGTGTAAGTTTTATAATCTCATGTCTTATCTTACAAATAAATGTTAATGTTAATTATGTGAAAACTTTACAAGGAACTTCCATCGTTCTTCTTTTTACTTACACCTTTTAAGTTTTAAAAATACCACAAAATCTTCTTTAAGTTTTAAACACATGAACTTGTTTTCATATGAAACAAGTATCTCTTAAAAAAGTATAAATATTCGAGTATAATTTACTGTCTATTTTTCTTTTGTAAATTTTAATTTTAAAGAGGTCCTTAATATTTTTAAACTTAAATATAATTGACTAATTTTAAAGTTAACGTTCTTGTACAAAGTAAACACATCCAGTTGCAGAGAAAAATAAAATATTAATAAACATGTGTTAGTAAAAGTTGAATAGTTCAAAATGCTAGAGGCTTAATGTGAGAAAGAAGTTGAATAGTTCAAAATGTTAGAGCCGGGAAATAGTAAAGGAAAAAGTTTTTACAATAACTTTTTCTTTTTTATAACTTTTTTACAATGATTTATGTGATAGATCAGTACGTTTTAAATATACATATCAATAAAATAATAATATATAATTTATTATCAAAATATTATTAAAAAATGTTATTAAATCCAATAAGATTAAAAAAGAAATCATATAATTATGAGCGTGTTTTGTGATTCGCCCTGCAAAAGAGAGGACAAGAAGAAGAAAAAAAGAACTAGTGGTGGTGAGGTACACCACCTATTAAGAAAAGAAATAAAGGGAATTTCTTCTTTTCCATTTGAGATCCTTTTAGTTCTTCCCCATCCAGTATGATTTTCCTGAATCCTGTAATTTTTGAAATACTAATTATACCTTTATACGGAATTTAAGTTCCAGATGCATCATCGTAATTATTTTGGATTATACAATCTTAAATAAAAAAATCAAAATTTTTATATTTCAGATTATATATTCTAAAATCATAGAAGAAAATTGCATCTGATTATATAATTCAAAATATAAAATTCATATTTTAAATTGTAAAATATGTTTTTATATTTGGATTATAAGATTCGTAGTGCAAAATTTAAGTTACATTATAAGAAAAATTTGCAGGAGGATTTCACAAATCTTATCAGTGATTTTGTTGAGCTTGTTGGCCTTGTGGGCGATCTAAATATCCATTGGAATGTTGCAATTCCTATGTTCTTTGTCTCCCTGATTCTTGTAAAAAATTCGATCATGTTCTTGCTTGATTCAATGATCTATAAGCAAAATCATCCAGTACGTCGTATTGTAGAATTTTGATTTGATTTGTCGTTTAGTGGTGTTTGGTGAAGTTGTTTCACTGGTATTGGAAAAAATAATGACATTCTGGAACGAGCATGGGCTAAAAATTATGGGAAGGTGAGTTTGGTCACAAGATATAGTAAATGCTCGTCCATTATCACAGATGGAAAGGTAAAGAAAAAAATATTTTATTATAATTTTTTACAATATTTTCATACAGTCATTTTTATACTATTTTACTATTTATTGTTTGTTATGACGACGTATCTTAAACTTAATGAAAAAAATAACACGTATATTATATTAAAATATAATTTTTCTTAATTAAGCAGATATACAATTTGTAATATAATTTAGAAAGACAATTCCAAACATACATTACATTGCAAATTACACTGAAATTTAATATCTCATTCCCAGTTGTAAAATCCTAGATAAATGCGTTAGAAGTCAAGGGGAGGGAGCTTCTCACACCGTCTTAAGCCAATGGAAAACAACAGCATGAGATAAATCCAAAATGAAATTATAATTTTAAGCAATTTTTTAACAAGAGATAACTAAGTCGGTGAAGCAATGAATGCGCTAAGAAAACATGAAGAATCCCCCCTCATTCAATGAGTTTGTTTTTTATTCATTGAATGTAATAAACTGTACTTTAATTGAAAGTTATTGTGTACTTTTTTTTTGCATTAACATAAAAAAACCTTCGCTTTTACTTTTGTACAAACTACTTTAATGATAAATTAAATAGTATAGTTTCATATTATTCTATTATTTATGTGCTTTAGGAAATACAATACAGTCCTATAATTCACAATAATAGTCATCATATTCCTTATCAATATTATCTTTAAAAAAATAACTGTCTAACAAATAGTAATTATACAATTTTACGT